CATTTAGATATCGGCTTAATGACTAATAAGAAACTAGGGGGAATTGTCTGACTTTTTCTTATTTCGTACTGTTAGTTAACGCTGTATAATAATAAATGTTAAAGTATATGTAATCATAACTGTTCACCATTAAAATAAATGTTGAGATGGTAGAGAATTGTAGATCAGGTGGGTGATTTTGATGGGGTTTTGTTCTTTGAGCTGGATGATTTGGTTGTGAAGCTTTCATCGTTCTTCTGAACGACATCATCGGCATAAACTACCTGAAGTTTATAGTATTTAATACTGTGGAATAAACTATCTTATTCAGCTTCTTTTGTTGTGTTTTTTTTTAGATTGCTACCGCTGAAAATTTCAGAGGGTATTTGATGAAACGATGTGTTTGTGTATGTATCAGACATTTTCGAATTTTAACTTTTATTTAGGCTACTTAACTTTATATTTCGACTAAGTTTTCATTCTTCCCGTTAATGATGCTAACATACTTCATTAACTATTCCTTAAGTGATCATTGAAAACGTTTTATATGCATGCGTAATATATTACTCTTTTGAGGTCATCAATTATGTAAAAGTTAGGGAAAAACTTGAGTCCTTAACTATTAATTCTCATTTTGAAGGTCAAGTAATTTGGGAATAGTTTACTTTTTTGTGAATTTACTGTAAAACATATTATAACTATCATCAAAGAAATTTCTTATTACAAGAGAAATTATAATACCGCAATCAAAGAAAAAATAACTTTATAGAGTGAAAAAAGAAAAAAGAAAGGTTACTGTTGTTCTCATTATACAAATGTTTATTAACAACTATCTACACAAAATAATTCGAATCCGTTGATCAGACACTATCAGTAACAACCTACTGTGCAACAGAACAAACCAGATATCAATGGAGGAAGAAATCAGGAAGAAGCACTGAAAGTGGATAGGACATACACACATTGAAGAAAGCGTCCAACTACATCACAAGACAAGCCCTCACATGGAATCCTCAAGGCCAGAAGGAGAGGAGGAAGACCAAAGAACACATTACGACGAGAAATGGAGACAGATATGAGAAGAATGAGCAAGAATTGTATACAAAATAGAAATGAATGAGTAGGACAGAGAGGGTTGTAGAACGCTGGTCGGTGGTCTATGCTCCATCGGGGTAATATGCGTAAGTAACATCCTAATATATAAATATATATGAACAAATAACTGTACATATGCAATAGTTAGTTTACACTTGTAATGGTTTCATCATTAGAATTTACTGCATACATTTTAACAATGTGTATTGCACTTATGATATTTAGTTATTTCCACTGATGCACTTTTATGTTGACTGAAAATGATAATAACGAGAGTTTATCATAATTTAATTTGAAAAGATAAATAATAAGCAACATCAGTTCCAATGAAAAATCGACACAAAGATTGAAGAGTTACAGAGTTCACATTACATGTGATTTATATCTATTTGTAAAGCTACACTATTCTATACGTTAAGTTGGTGGGTAAAATTATGAATAATAAAAGAATTAAGAATCCTGACTATAAGATTACTAAATTCATACATTTGACAAGTTATTGGATTTTTACTTAAGATCAGTTGATTTATTTCAAATTAGTCCGAACTCTGCATTTTTTGACTATATATAAACATTGAATATATACATTCCTTCATGTAAGCCATTAAAAGATGGTTTTCAACAAGAATTCTTTTGTTATCAATAAACTTGGAGTAAAATAATAAAAACATATGAGATATCTACATACTATACAATATATCAGCCGTTTCTACAAATGGTCATAAGATAATTAATGTCAATTGCTGACTAACCATTGTAAATTGAGCTTATAAATTCACAAACTTAAGTTGATAACAATAGACATTACCAAGTTACAAGAAAATACAATATAAATAATTGATTTGCTAACCAAATTTTTACATGGATACATCGGAATCTATACACGTGTATATCTTTATATATATGCATATATATATATATATATATATATATATATATATATATATATATAGACAGTGCATGAATCAAGGTTCGAGGTCATAGATTTCTCAAAACAGTACCCATGATATATTTATTCATGAATTATTATACAATCGTATATCTAGTATGTCATCATCTTACATTGAAGTCACTCGTTGTAAATCACCTTCAAACTATATTATCTTCTTAGATGGTTTTCCGATTTTTGTAGTGCGACCACACACTTTAATTAACCTAATTTCACTGTTACATTCTATAAGTTTATTTAATCAAGTCTCATCAATAATGAAGTTAATTGTTTAGCCCAATCGGAGATCTCATGCATAACGAAATTGTCTCACAAACTAAACGACAAACCTTTACAAACAACGCGACATGCTAGTCTTACATGTTTGTGAATATATATGTATATATGCAGACACAGTGACGAAATACCACAGCTAGATGATATAACATAAATACAATGAATCATAAACATTCATTCGAATAAAACCACCAATACAAACAATACCAGACAATCAACTCAATATTCTTCTTCTTTTGTCATTGTTATTGTTGTTTAAAAGAGAACAAACGTGATAAAACAAAACATTTCAGAAAGGAAAACATACAGATAAATTAACATTTTTAAAATCTTTTTTCTCTTTCTGTTTTGATCAAGTTTAAATATATATATAAATATATATATTTATATAATGGTTATCATCAGTATGGTCCTTGTTGTCACTGTTATTCATTTATTTATTTTCTTCTTGATTGTCTTTACTGTGCATAGATATTTTTTTCCAAAACAGACAGAACCAGATTCACAAAATACAGTTAATTCAAAAGAGTAAGGTGTTCTTCTTTTTTTCAAAAAGGGGGGAAACATAGGAGAAAATACAAATACTTCAAGGTTTTATTTGTCTCGTTCAAGAAAGTAAATGTATAGTGATAATGATGGTAATCATTAAGGCATGCTTATTTATGTATATATATATATATGTATATGTATATATAAACAAACAGCAATAATACTCAGTAATGAATATTATTCATTTGTTTATTAATTTGATTGAGCAAATGATTGATCATACTTATTAATTGGTTATTTAATTATTTAATTAGTTAGTTACTAGAATTATTTCCTTATGCATTTATATGACAAAATTATGCATAATAAATACAGATAATCAATATATATATATATATATATATATATATATATATATATATATATATATATATATATATATATATATATATATATTTGTGAAACAATAAAGAATTATTACTCGTTGTTTGTCATTTCTCTTAGATATAATCTTGAATATGTTTTTTTTTAATTTTTTATTTTGTGTTTAAATAGATTATCATATGCTTGTTTACATGTAATTTATCATTTGATTGTGCAATATACATGATATATATAAGATGCATTGAATAATGGAAAGTTTATAAATGAATAGGGGTGGGGGAATGAGATTTTTATAAACCAGCGAAATTGAATTAAGTAATAATAAGTAATATAATGAACTGTTTTTCCATATTTTTTGTTTGAAAAAAAGACAAACTAGATTTTATTACATATATCAGTATTACTACTCATGTTTATATTGTTATAAAGGCAATATATATTAAAGTGACTGACTGAATTGTTTTCTTTTGATTATTCATTTATTAATACTTAATTATAGTTAAACTTGAATGATTGAAATAAACATTGGCTTGATATAACTATAAAGTATATGCAAAACAATATATTATTTCCCTTTCTTTTTAAATCTTCAATTATTACCATACAGATTAATTTAATTATTATTGTTCAATTGTTTTGTTAAAATTTCATTTTACATTAGATTGTCATTTTAACAAAATAATCACAAAGAAATGAAAAAGAGTCAAATTAATCAATACGAATAAAATAAGAACCAAAAGTAGTAAGTCATACCAAAATAACTCCATTAGAAGTAATATATATATTCAATTAACTTGCTAATCGTTAGGTTTCAAATTTGATGAGAAGGAGAAAGGACACCATAATTAAACAAATAATCCATTTACATTTGTAATTTATTTACTATACAATATGAAAAATACATACATATAATGATATTTGTGTAGGTAGATTGAGAAAGCATTGGATAATTCAAAGGGTATAATTAATCATGCTTTAGTTCATAACAACAACAACAACAAAAAATAATAAATAAAAATAAAAATAACTGCTGTCTTTCATTTAGTTTTTTTAATACACAAAATGATCGCATAAAAATTAACATTAGTAATAATGGAAGGTAAATGAGCATTGATATTAAGAGGGGAAGTTAATTAAACATGTAATACAAAAAAAAGAATGAAAATTAGAAAAAATTTGGGGGCCCAGAAACATTTTAACTGTTAAAAAATATATTTTAAAGAGAAAAAGTGATGACAATTCAAGTCTTTAAATGTAACGATTTGAAATAAAATATTTTGAACTACATGAATGTAGGCACATACAAATATACATAGAAACACAAATTCTATAGAATAACAGACAACAAATAAACACACCATTAGTTGAAAAATGAAAGGATAAAGTAGATATGATTGAAGTAAGAATGTGAAAGAATAACAAATGAGGAAGAAAACAATTGATGTGATGCATAGAATTAGTAGAAACCAAGTGATAAACATGCAATGCAATGAACGAAAATGAAACATTAACTCCGATTTTGGGCAATGAATAATGTCGAGATATTTTATTTGAAATAGTTTGCATAAAACACAGCAAAAATAAACGTGTTCATTGCTTTTTCAAATTCGATAGAAGTGCGCCAATATATATATATATATATATATATATATATATATATATATATATATTTGCATACCCATTAAGAATATAGATATTACATTTTCACTGAGTTATGACTAATATAAATAACATAATTTTTAGGTCATGGAGATTACATTAGCATATGGAGGAAGAATAGCAGTTGGAGGTAAGAAGACTGAGAGGGGTTGTGATAGAGGACACTCACCTGGAGATAGATAATATCCAGGTAAGTAAGCATAGGCACTTGGTTGACGTGCTGTAATTGGTGATGTTGCTGTTAATGTATATGAAGCAGCAGCTGCTGCTGCAGCCGCCGCTGCAGCTCCATTCAACTGAGCAGGAAGAAAATGTGCTAAAATAATTTTAAAATATGAAAATCAAATATTTATTAGCTTAATAAGATATCATGAAATCATTTTTCAAATATATATATATATATATATATATATATATATATATATATATATATATATATATATATATATATATATATATATATATATATAACAAAACTTAGAAAACAAAGCGGTTGATTTTAGAATATAAGACTGAACTGTTTTGGTCCTGAAGGTGAATTTAAGGTTAATTTTATCTTCTAAACTGAATATGTTCACAAATACAGCACATTGGTATTACAAATTTAAAGGTAACTGTACATTTAATGAAAATTGCCTCGAAATGTTTGAATAAATACTCTTTTATATGTTATATTTACTTTAGGTTATTTACTAGGACAGCTGAATACAGATTCATTTAATGCGTGCAACTGATATAAAATGGATGTCCAAGCTGAATTAGATGAAAGAGATTCAAATCCAAATCGATCAGGGAGCTTTAGTTCCATTAAGATTACAGATGCACCTTGTTGATGAGTGTCAACTAGCACGAAACCTAGGTTCAGGGTTTCATGCTGACTACCTCCAACTACCATCTTATCTCAACATAGTGCACGCAATGTAGATCCATCCAGACTAGTGACCACATTGCAACTTGGTCGAGAGGATTAGATCTGCACTAAGAACGACTTGACATACATGACATCGATCACCACCAGTGATCAATCAAATGTCAGAAAGCAATTGGATAATTTTATGATAAACTGTAATTTTGTTATTATTATTACTATTAATATGTGATTATATAGTATTGATCAATAAAACATAATAATGATAGGATATTAATCATGGAAGTAACAACTTACAAATTGGAGCACGAATAAACTGATGCCGTTGCTTAATCAAGGAATTATTTGTACTCATCACTTCTTTTGGAACGGCCTTTTTAGCTTCAACCTATCCGAAATTGAGTTTTTGTGTAGAATAAAAATAGAAATAAATATTTTCCTTTAGGAGTTTGACTAAAAAGCAATAAATAATCGGGTTTTTTTCCTTCTCTAAATATCGTTAATAAAAATTACGTAGGTTTATTAGCTATCAATAAAAAGGATTAGCTTTTAGATATAAAAATTTCTGTAGTTTGTTTATCCTAAATTCAATGAAATTGTTATATTATTGATGGTATTACATTTTTATACATGAATCAAACACGTATCAGGAATGGTACAGTTGGTCAATGATAGTATGAAGTGAGCTACTTATATCCACATAAGCAGTATATTACGATGGTCGGACATAGAATGTATTTCAATGGAAGATCGAAAGGGAAAGAACGGGAACAGAGAATAATTGGTAGGAAAATGCCTGAACAATGAAATCTATAACGATGGACTGAGATTTGCAAAAGGAACAGTCAAGTTTGAGACGATTGATTGATATTTTTCAAATTAACTATTCACTGTATGGCTCTCAGATTTTAGTGAGATGTTCTGTAATTTTGTGCTCAAATACATTCGATTGTCCATACTCGTATTCTCGTTCATGACAATAGTAATGAATGATTTCGTACAATCCTTGTAGGAAGTAATTGCATTCAGATACATGAACTATTGAATTATTATTTATTAACTTGACAATGTTGTAAGTGATTTCAGGCATACAGCTGATAGGGAATAATTTAACAAAACTGATTCAAACTAGAGATAGATAGATATTTTAAGTGTACATCTGATTTGAAATTATTATCTAACTGATATCAGTATATGATAAATAAATCATCCACCTGAGCTACAAATCTTCTCCACCATCTCATAAAAATAATCTTTTAAATGAATTTGATTTTCATAAACCATGTAAATAAATATTTTGATTCAATGAATTGAAAAAAAATCACCGTTTCTGTATTACAGAAAAGAGAATGCTAAACTGTTGATTAAAATATAATTTATTTCATAGAATAATAAATATGCTACTAATGTCATTAAATATCAGCATATTTAACTAAAACATACTAATGATGAAAATTATTCGTCATACATATTTTCACATGGTAGCAATTAAGATGTTCCTATTTGACACGGTTTTATTGAAGGAGAAATTTTTAATATCAGACGATTCGTTTGCATACAGGAATGGTACAAAGTGATAAGTGAAGTTTATTTTGGAACAAAAAGATCAAACATTTGCAATTATATATTTTGCAATTCAGCAATCATTACTACTTAACGACCATCATGTAGACATGTTTGCGGAGGTTTAAACACAAACAAAATGTATGCCGTTATAATTAAATATTGTTTTCGTTCAGGATAAATTTGTTTTTGGTACACTTGTCTCAATCGAGCTTGTCGTTTACTACAGGAAAGAATGTTTGACAACGTATGATGACTTAAGATTGAAATAGCGAAAATTTAAAAGCTTTTAATTAGGGGTTAGATGATTTCACCATAACATGAATCTGAGGGGAGTTATGGTCAGTCCCATCTAATTTTATGGAGAACTGAATATATTAATTCCTTCATATTATTTAGTTATTATCATTAGAGGGATATAGATTGGATTTGAGTCTTTTCCGTGCAGGATTGTGTTGGAGCTATTTCTTAGCCAGTTGGTGCTAGTGAATTCTTGGAGAACACTCTAGAATCTTCTTTTGTAAAAAATATAAATATACTAACGTTTTTCTTATGGTGATTCCTACTTTCATTTAACTTTGTTTAATTATAATATAATTATGTTCTTGTTCAACTGTGTTCTGATTTATGGACTTGTCGAGTGAAGTAGTTTGAAAGAAAACTAAACGATAAGAGTGGTTAAACCGTAATAAGAGAACTCATAACAAATGATAATGAACATTAACTCCATAGTTTCACTTTGTATTTATAAAATAATTCTGTTCATTTTAAGCATTTTCTAATGACGTCAAAATTTAAACGGCAGTTTTTTAACATATACATTTTTCGGTCAATTATGCAAATAGATAAGAAATACAAATGAATAGTTGTTTAAGGTGACAATAGAGACAGAACATAAATGGTAATAGCATTATATACAAGAAGTAAGTTAAGATTGATTCAAAAACTGTCATTGTTACAATTACATATAATCTCAACTATAAATTAAATAGTATTTGGTTAATTTTAATACTAGTTCTAATGATAATCAGGATGTATGAGTATAGTTAGTCAAATTAAATAAATGGTACTATGTACTAAACAGTGAAACCATTCTTCCATCCTTTCTTCTTCTGTCTTAGCAACTAGTTAGTACTACAATTCCTTACACAAGCAGTATATATTAAAGTTGGATATTTGAACCTGAACTTTAGTCAAAATGTAATTTTACTAACTAATCGCTGATAAAAATTATTAACTAATGTTGGTGTATTCTTTTTATTTATATGAAATTCCAGAACATATCGTTGAAATTCATGGGGGACAGGTCAGATATTTTGTAGTTTATTAATATTATTTACTTGTTATTGATGTTAATACTACTGACAATTGAACTTATTACTCTAAAAAATTAATAGGCAAAATGTATATTCTACAGGACATAAAGCCAGTTGGGAAGTAATATAAGCGTTTAGACTAGTCACACTAAGAATGTGGACTAATGAGGCTCCAAACATTAACATATTACTCTACTAATAAAATATGGAGTGATTTCATTATGTTGCAAAATAATCTTCAATTCGCATCTGTGTGTTATATTGATTAACTGCAGAATTATGTTTAAAGCTTTTAGGTTAATCTAGTCCTAACTGGTACCATGAAAACATCTGAATAGAACGATGATTATCAGAATGGGTTTTGTGGAGAGTTTTCAGAAATTTCATAGGTTGAGATCATGAGTCGATTGAAGCTAGACCACCATGGAAAACCTGGAAGCACTGGACGGCCGTTCCGTCCTGGTATGGGACTCCTCAGCCATGCGCATCCACGACCCCGCACCTCGCGGGATTCGAACCCAGGACCTACTGGTTTCGCGCGCGAGCACTTAACCACTAGACTACTGAGCCGGCACCCAACGGTGGTGCGGGATCGTGGATGCGCACTGCTGAGGAGTCCCATACTAGGACGAAACGGCCGTCCAGTGCTTCCAGGTTTTCCATGGTGGTCTAGCTTCAATAGACTCATGATTTCAACCTATGAAAACGATGATTTCTAAAAGTTGTTATCTTTCTAATTATTAAAATGACACTAGTCTGTATGATATGTAGTGATGTGACTAATCTGATCTAGATTTCATTCAATAAAGTTTTCATCCTCTTTATCATTTCGAACGACTTCGTTCTAAAAAATAAGTGGTTAGTTGATAATTGTTAATCTTTAATAGTTCAAGTACTTTATTTTTCATAGATTGACTAACTTTGCGAAAATTGCTAAATTTGATTTCAACAAAAAAAGATGAAATAAATTCATTTTAAACCTATAAAATTTATTTCAAGAAAGAATCTTAAAAAATGTATTGAAGTATAAAAGCTCAAGGTGTATATACGAATTGAATATAAAAGTGTGAAATTCACAAAAAAAACATTTATGAAATAATGCAATTTATTTTCGGTCAAGGTCATCTCATTTGAATATTCAACCGAAATATATATTTATTCAATCGTATCTAAGCAACAAGAATATAAACTTTGCGTAATTATGAATGGATGAATTGAAATTGATTTTGTAAAAAGAACATAGTGAATTGTTTGATTAGATACGCATTTATTTCTTCATTATAATTATGACTTATATATAAGTTTATAAAGATTACGAATAAGTATAATACCAAGGTTCAATAGTTTCTGCTAACTGCTTTCAAACACTTTACATGTCATGCGAAATAAATATCCATTTAGTTATTAATCTAAAAAAAAGACTTTTCTGCATGAATAATAGTGAGGTCAGTTTCTTAGATGTCATGGAGCGATATGTTTTTTTTTCTTACTTTTAACTACAAATTACGAATCCAAACTAGATAAGAGACTTGGATGAATCACTGGATAATTGTCGTTATAATGGTCTTAACCATAGTATTGTTAGTCAAATATAGTATATCTATACATCAAAGTACTGTGTTAAAACAACAAATAATTACAAATATCTAATAATTTACACAAACTAGATCTTTTTAATCAGCTGAAAAAAATCATGTTCTTCTTCATAAAAGAAACGAAAGAGTCATTACTACTTTTCTGTAAAGTAAAACTTACAATACAATATTTACAATAACAATAAGCATAAGGAAAACGAGTAACATGATAAACAAGGAACAAAAGGTGAATGAAAACATAGGAGAAACAAATCAAAAACAATACATATTTCGTAAAAATGGAAGATGGATGATATATACATTCATAGTTGAAAAAATACGATATAACAATAATGCCTTTCATTCTGTCTTTAGGTTTTATCATAAGCTTGTCCTTAGATTAAATAAACGTCAACATTTTTCTGTCTAGATTTAAGGGTCAGTTAAATGAATTTCTTCTAAGTTTTCTTCTTTATATGGATATACATATATATGTTAACTCTGATGTTGTTTGTATATATATTTTTGTATGTATATACTTAATAATATATAAATAATAATCCCTTAATGTTTGTGTGGTATAGTTCTAATCGATAAAATAGTTTCCAATGAAGTAAAACTTTTTCTTCGTTTGAACCATGTCAAAATGATGATAAAGTTGAAAAATGAGAGAAAGTCTTTCTTAAATTTACTAAATGAAAATAGTATAATCGATTTTCATTTGGGTTACACATTTGCAATTATCATGCCTTGGTAGCTATTTTGTCATTTAGACACTCAAGCTCAAGCAAATAACTTTTAATTTCTTTATTTACGCTTAACTGTATCTCATGAAAATAGACTAATCATTAAAACAATAATCAGCTCACTGTAGTGAAGTGCTTACGTATGAACTTATCTAAAGCGTTACACAATAAGTTGAAGAGATTTCTCTATAGTTTTTAGTCTGAGCTGAAATATACAATTACTATGTCAAAAGAGGTCCAGTAATATTGTATAGTACAGGAAATTAATAATGAAGTATAAAATAATTCCCTTATGTTATTTTTCGATAACCACTGAATCGATACGGTTAATTGTTATCAAGTTCAAGATGTGACGCGAATAAGTATAACTTTGTATTATCTGTTTAGGGAATGTGGAGATTGTCAAGTTTTTGATTGAGATCATGAACCGATTGTTGTTAGACCACCCTAAACTGATAATTACCATGCGCTTACTAGTGACTAGCTTCGTGAGAAAATTCTCGGAGTTCTGGTGAGAAGCCGTCACCAGTGAAGCTGATCCGTTTCGGCTAGAAACAGGTGTCTACCTCAGTACAATGGAAGATGGTCGCATAACTTCATGGAATGTTTGAGGTTAGACGTTGACACCATCGGATGCAGGCCCAGTGGTCCAGTACGTTAAGCGTTCGCGCGCGAGAATGAAGGCCCTGGGCTCGAATCCCGAGAGCGAGATCGAGGATGCGCACTGCTGAAGAGTCCCACAATAGGACGAAATGGCCGTCCAGTGCTTCCAGGTTACCAATGATGGTCTAACACCAATGGGTTCATGATCTCAATTAAAAAATTTGTATTAGTTCACGTTACATCACCACTGTAAGAAAAAATTAGCGATAAGAATACTAGAATAGAAAATAAGACAAAATTCGAAGGGAAATCAGGTATGGAAAATTCGGTTTAAAATGAACAGACAAAGTAAAGAAATGAAGAACGTTGATCTTACCATAATCAAAATTCAAAAGGAAACCAATGAACTAATGAGGCTTCATGATTATCAGAATTTTCAGGCTTTGTTTTCTGATTAGTGAGCAACATTATGCTAATCTAGTTTTTTTTTAGTGTCGATATATTTCTACTAATCATGTTGCAATGTGTCTACATATCTCAACATGTTGTGAACGATGGTAAGATTTTAAGTAGTCAACGTAGTCAACCCTGTATGACCTAGATTATATGCTAGTTACCAATCTCTAGGATGACGTGCATATAATTTTGAAGGAACTGATGTTTCCTATTAGTTTCAAATTCACATCAACCAGCTTCACAGTGTGAGACGTTACTATTGAGCTATTCGGAATACTCATACCGGATTATTTGTTGTTCTTTTTCGTGTTGCCTGATTAATTGTTATGTGTAATGTTAACGCTAGTGTACAAAAAGGTTTGAATTTAAAAATGCGTAAGTACATTTATATATATTCGAGTAGAAAAAAAGGAAACTAAAATGAAGTTTTTATATGCATTGAAACTTACCATTTTATTATGCAAATCATGGAAATGAATTTCACAAACTTTTTCAGCTGATTCTTCTGATTCGAAAGTAACAAATCCAAAGCCTGAAAATAATTCATATGAATTCAAGTTAATTTTCTTTAAAGCTCTATGATTAGTTACAAAATATTTTGTATATATTTACAAAGTAGAGTATTTATTTATTTTTCTAAGAAACAATTAAAATCACAACGAAATACATTACGTTTTAGAAAAATATAATGCTAACTTATATTCATATTTCAAATGAATATTAGAAACTGATTCTAATGCAATGCGTTGACAAATACCCTGATACAACCGAGAGTGGGGAGAGTCTGTACTCCTTCTCGAAATGCTCTCATATGGTTACGTTCATATAACCACTGATGGGGAAGTCCTACTCACTGCCTTCTTACGGCGGGGGTGTCGTTTACGATATTAAGAGGACGAAAAGCGAATGTCCGGCGCTCTAGCCGGGTTGATGGACACAGAGGATCCACCTAGGATAGTTGGAAAACCCTGATTTGAAACCAATAGTGCATATGGGCTCCAAGATCCTGAAGGGGAAAATGGCGTATGAACCAATTGTTGGTCACCGGCTACCATAGGACTGCATCTCCTGACGTTGCTTCACTGCCTTGTGGATTAGACCTTTGTATCAAATGCCCAGGGTATGGCTCCTTAGGAAACTACCTGCTTCGTTCTGGGCACCCAAACAGTATCACAGCCCACACACAGATCAATTGACATGTGTAACGAATATGTATTCGATGCCCATTTGTATTAAGATTTATGTGTTCAAATAAATAAATAAACTAATATGATGCATTAAAATATTGAATATTTACAGTTGTAACTGGTATCTTTACAAATCACTTTGAAATTGGTAGTTAGAAATTCATAACTTAATTTAAACATTGAATGTTCATATAAAGTTTATTGACACTTTAAATGAATATAAGATTAATAAAATCATTCATTCTCTTCAATCTAATCACAAGAGTTTTTGCGATCACATTTTTTTCTATTATGTCTCTGAATAATCAGTTTTTTTAGGAAACTAATAATTCAAGTCTAGTTTTGTACTATTTATCTATTGAATTAGTCAACTAGTTATTTGAAGTTGTTTATTTGCTAGTTAAACTTACATATTTTGTGAACGAAACTTAATAAGTACACAGAAAGACATCTTTTTTAGAAAAAGAAATAGAAGCTTAACAGTGCATTATATATATATATATATATATATATATATATATATATATATATATATATATATATATATATACAAAGGAATGCACCTTAAGCTTTGTCCTTTACACATCGATGTGATTACAATAAAATATTTGATGAATTAGGCCAGTGCAAAAAGAATACTCCCCACTGAGAATATTGATCAAAGATTTCTAAGTGCAATTACTTAAATATTTATACTATAGTTTTATTCGTTCATTAGAATAACATAGAATTCTATCTGAAAATAATCTCCTTGATTATATTGATCACAAGAGGAGATAATTTATTAATTAATTGTATTGATATCAAAGTTACAATTTAAGTCAATTTAATATCTTAGTTTTTATTTTATCTGATATAATCGTTATACTTGATCAAGGATCACTAGACAGTTACTTAGACTTAGTCTATGAACCTTTAGTCCACTTTTGAAGGTCACAGTTAAAATATTATGGCAAAGGCAGAACTAAAGATCGATTAACAACTTTATTTTATTATAGCTCAGCTGGTGGAAAACAAAACATTAAGCTAAGAATAAATAGAGCGATAAAATTTCTTTTTAGTTAGTTTTTCATCATAGCTCTACACTACTAATATATATGTATGATTTACAACAGTGAAATAATTCTCATTGAGTGGTCGCGTTACATAACAATTATATAATGTTGCATTAATTATAAAATAATATTGAGTAATATGAAGAAAGAGGATGATAGTAATCAAAGTAACCATTTGGAAATTAAACAGTTATGTATTGTACAATATGTCAAATGTTTGATTTCGAAATACTTACTCCATATTGCATAATACATAACTACTACTCAAAATTATCTTATAATTAATGCAACATTATATAGTTGTTATGTAACGCACCCACTCGATGAGAATTATTTCACTGTTGTTAATCATATATATATATTATTAGTGTAGAGCCATGATGGATGATGTTCATTGAAATGCCCTCTTTCTTTGTTTTGAACGAGGCTTTGATGATCCTTGGTCCATGAGATTCCCATCTTATAAGCGCGTTTTGCGCTTATTTGGACAGCATCAATGCAACTCCTTGTGTTTGTGGGGCATTTTCTTCTTCATGGCCGGAGTATAACAGGAGCTCTCCTGTAGTTAGTTGTTGTTGTCCAACTTGCGTCCAATGTGTTTCACTGATCCCAAGTAGCTCTAGGTTGTATCTTCTCATTTCTACAGCAATTTGGAAGGCTCTCCCGGTTTCCCACATTGTACGAACATTCCATGTACCTAAACAGATGGTCGCTCTGGTTGTCAGAAGGGGCATCGGCCTCGTAACTTCCGAAGGAATTCGGCTTTCATCATGAGGCGTCATAATTCTTCTAAATGATGACCTTCTGACTCCCAGGGCAGAGTTTAAAAGGTGTGAATAACTTTTTCTGGTTAGCGTTTTTTTGTTGAGTTAGTTTTCTACGGGATGGGGACGCTAACCCCATGCCCAACCCTCCTCCTTTATCTGGGCTTGGGACCGGTAGTAGCCCTCGGAGGGACTCCAGGTGTAAATAAATAATAATAAAAATAAAGAGCCATGATGGAAAACTAACTAAAAAGAAATTTCTTCACTTTATTCGTTCTTTTTAATGTATGTTAAAATGAGAATTTTCACTATACAAACTTCAGAAATGTTTTATATAGAGATCAGTTACAAAAAGGATTTCGTACCTCTTCTCGAGTTCTCCATATATTTTATTACTGTCTTACCTGTTGTTACATTATGGTGCCGGAACACCTATGTCACTAATTTACTCTAACTGCAAAGATATTAAAAACAAAGCAGTAAGAAATGACTATGGAACTTTGGTTTAGGATTCTATAGTGGTGAATACTCACAAACCAAGAATATTATGTTTAGAAGTAGCCGTGTTTTATTTGGAGAATAAAGTAATTATTGTTTCATATCTCTACCTGTGTTCAGTTCATTACATGCAACAACGATCAGTAACGTACACATTCAAAATAACTGTGAATTCGATAAGAATGCTACTGAGTGATTCAGACTGAGACCGTGATCCTCTATTATTAATTAGTGTATCTTATGACAACTAAACTAGGTATACTGAGAGAAATACTTGTTTAGCAGTTGAATTTCACCTTACCTCTATGTCGATTAGTTGACTTGTCCATCATTAATTCACATGATTCTAGCTGTTAGAAAAAATAAAAATGACACATAATTGGGTCTGATTAAAACACCATGGTTTAGCAAAATAAAAATAAACACAATTTAAAAGTAACTGGAAATAAAGAACTCAGTGAAGTGACGAGTAGAAATGTTCCTTGGTTTTTTTTGAAAATTGAGTAGTTAGTTTTAAAAAATGAATAGGGTACTTCGAATGAATTTCCAAAACAGGAAACATTTCAAAGTAATCGGTTAAGTAAATTAAAAAGCGGGTTTAGTTCTATTATATATAAATTAGTGTACAGCTAATGGTCTAGCTTGGGATTAGTAACTAACTATACAGTAATATTGATAACTACCATATAGTTTAACGACAGATATACAAAAAGCCGTATTTATACCAAACATCTCTAAGTCTGACAACTTTTAGAGTAAGGGAATTCAACATGTGCTCACTAGTGACTAGCTTCGTGAGGGAATTCTCGGAGTTCTAGTGAGAAGCCGTGACCAGTGGAGCTAATCCTTGTCGGGTAGAGACAGTTATCTACTTAGGTACAATGGAAGTTGGTCGCGCAATTTCGTGGATTGGTTGATGTTAGAAACTATCACCATTGGATGCCGGCTCAGTGGTCCAGTTGGTTAAGCGTTCGCGCGCGAGACCGAAGGCCCTGGGTTCGAATCCCGCTCGCGGGATCGTGGATGCGCACTGCTGAGGAGTCCCACAATAGGACGAAACGGCCGTCCAGTGCTTCCAGGTTTTCAATTGTGATGGTCTAACATCAATTGGTTCAAGATCTCAATCAAAAAGAATTCAAGTATGTTAGTCACTAAAACACAAGAAAACATATGGTGAACACTTCAAGACATTTTAGACTAATTATTAACATTCACTTGAAGGTTAAAAAAGACTCAGTAATTCTGCACTCGAGATATATATCTTTTACAATGAGCTATAGATCGTGTTAGTTTGTGCGTTGTTACAGTCATGTTCAACATTTGTTTTAATTTTCAGTTGTAGCTTTTAATTCATTTTTTTATTGGTCGTTTGAATCTTCCAATTGATGTTTAGGACTGCAATTGGCATTTGTGCAGATTGCCTTGATATTGTCTTAAGTCGCAAGCTCTATAAGCAGAGATGGATAGTAGCTAGCATTAAAATCAACTGTAAATGATAGGCAATTCGACCTCACAATGATCAAACTTCGTTATATCTGATAAGTCTATAATCACTGAAATGAAATTCTTAAAGAAATATATGAGTGTAATTGTCCAGTTGTTGTATAGACAGCTATTCTAATTGTATGTCAGTTATGTAGAAACTGGCTAAAAATGATAATTGATGAAAGATTTCGGTATAATGAGGATAAGTGAAATATCAAAAGGTTCTGTGGATAACTTACGTTTACATCTAAAACAATACTTTATCAACTCACAATGTAGGGTCAATCAGTTTACGTGGTCAAGATGGAAGAATTGAACTTCCAACTCACAGTTTTTCCGGCAAATACATGTCAACGACAATTCGGTAGCTACGAGTTCATCAATTAGATAATTTTCACCATTCTAAATTTTCATTGAAATCGTGAACCGATCAACGTTAAACAACCATTGAAAACGTGGAATTACTAGAGGGCCATTTGATCCTAGTATGAGACCTCACAGCAGTGTATATCCACGACCACTCAAATGGAAATCAAACCCATGAATTTCGGTCTCGAGTACAAACGCTTAACTTTTAGATCATTGGCTAACATTCAACCGTGTTTATGTTTAACTTCATTTATTTTATTCATATGACGTGATAGGATATTGAGCCTTTTGTAATACAGCATAAAACTAGCTATCTTAGTGAACTTAAAGTGTTGGTCATTATAAAAAATTAATTTACAAATTTTATTCAACAACTTTCATAAGTCATTATCGTGAAAAAATGGCATAAGGTATATGTTCGTAAATGAACTGACCATGCTCAGTTTTAAAAAAGATTTTATATCCTGCAACAGTAAGCAACAATAAAAGTGTAACACTCAAAGTGGAATATCATGAGTCTATGAATAGTACATGAATAATGCAGTATTTTATTGATATTTCAAGAAGAAGGTATTAAAATATTTATTATTTTCAGAAGGGGTATTGTGGATGTTATAGTAATTTCAATGGGTTCAAATCTTGTGAGAAGCGGGATCGAGGATACGCACTGCTGCGGAGTCCCACCATAGGATGAAACGGCCGTCCACAGCTTCTAGGTTTTCCATGGTGGTCTAGCTTCAACTGACTCATGATCTCAACCATTGAAATTATTTATTATTTATTAGGAAAATAATTAACACTTCTATTAATATCCCATATATATATTTTAATTTGATTGTTGATAAAATTTCTACCTACGTAAAACTTCCATAGTGACCATTTTTCATGATGTAATAAAGTCAATCAATTGAAACAGTTTGAAGTAACTTTCGAAATAAGTGATCATAAAATGTTGAAAGAAAGTCATTTTTTCTTAGAAAAGAATTCAAATTTACTCCCTTCTCAGTTAGTATAAATAAAATGGCTGTTTGTTTTAGTACAAAGCGTTTTAGTTTAAATAGAATAATCTATGTTTCTATAGCAATGAAAAATTACAAGTTAAGTAGAAGGATAAATAGAGAACGAGGTAGAAACAGAAACTAAGAGCATTTCTACGTATGTCTGTATTCAAGCGATAAACTTAAATTAAAATGAGTGAAATAAGCGGCTCAATTGAGTGAACTAAAGATCTCTTTACAAAAACGACAAGCAAATTAAGCACCCATAAGCTTTGGAAAATCCGTCCACCACTACATAAAACTACTGTTATTTGTCTGAAATAAAAAATAACTGACAAACTTCAGTTTGACGCTGATTTATCTATATGACGTGTAAATAAATAGTAGGACGTAGAAAATCTAACGGCGTAATTCGTGTGTTAATTAGTTAACAACATTAAATTAATTTACAAGGAATCAGTTGTCACGAAAATATCGATCAGTATTATCAAATTAAGACACACTAGATGATATGATCTTAGGTAAACATTAAAGAAAAATAGTTTTAACCGTCCATGATAGTAAAACACGATGTTTCCCTTTTCATCTGTTACAGCCAAGTCACTGGTAAAAATAATCAGATTATCTTCGCATATATACATAATGCGTAAATTAGATAAAAATTTGATAAGATGAATAACGTTCATTCTCTCATGGGAACATTAAGATTTACCAATTAAAAAAGGTTTGGTGAAAGAAGACCATTGAGTAAAATAAACATTGCTTCAAAGAAAAAAAATTAAAGTTAGTTAAAAACTCTTTGAATTTATTGGAAAGAATACATTTTCATTAAAATTCAGTAGTATATTACCAGTTATCATATAATAATTGCTACGATACTATTTTTTTGTATGGGTATTCAGCCTTCTTTTTTTGAGTACTTGAATGCCTATTCTTGATGAGAGCCATGTATATCACTATGCCCTCATCGATGGGTCGTTTTCAAAATGATGGAAAATAGAAGAAAATTTGTAGGGAATCTGAAATTACAAAGAGATTTATTCTTACAGACAGACAGTCAATTAAGTAGTAATGTATTCGCTTTAATCCATAATATGAGTATGTATTTAATTCTATTGTACTTATTCACTATAGATTTAATAAGATAAATAATGAACAATATTAGCTTTTTACGGAAAAACAATTGACTCCTTACAGTTATATGGTACAATGATAATAATGAAGTACTGAGAGTCTATCTGGACAAAGCAATCCATCTGATTATATCCTACAATCAGATCTAATTTAACATTCATTATTAATTACAAACTTTATAAACACTGAACTCAATCAACATAACAAGCTTTCTTCTGATGTTTTGATTAGCAATTGCACACTCAATTAAATTACAATGAAAATGAGAATAGGAATGATTCTCATAAACACTAAAAATATACATATCTATATAGAGATTTATACAGAGTAAATTGAATTTCTCCTTGCTTATTATATAAGTTGTTAGAATTAATTATTAATCACAGCGGGTGGTAAACGTAGATGTATGTATGAGTATAAATATATAAATATAGTGTACCCGTTTTTGAGAAAATTCCCAAATGATTTGCAAAAATAAATTGAAGCGTGAACTTGTATACACAATAATGATGAATTCGGTATATATATATATATATATATATATATATATATATATATATATATATATATATATATATATATATATATATATTGACCTGATATCAAGGGATTTCTATTATTTAGCCTTTTTGTTTTACACGCAGTTCATAAAATTCTAGTTACTTTTATCTGTGAACTATCCAATCTAATCATTGATGTAAGGTAAAATACAATGTTTCATCATACTTTAATTAAGCTATTGATAATAGTATCAGTAATAATTTGAGCATTGTGTATCAACTCCATCAAGAACAAAGAAACATTAGTGTAACAGATAATTTTGCTAATATTTTTATTCCTCTCCTACATGTATGTGATTCAATTTCTCAACTATATTAATCATAGTAATAATAATAATAACTAGTAATAACCGATTACATTCTATCCTCATTTGTTTTAACCACATCTATGTATAATCCCATTGATTTAATTGAATAATTGATGCAGAAAACAAAACCCAGAAATCAAAAGGAAACCTTTTAACAGCTTTACATTTAGAGACAACATGAATGCATGAATGAATGAGATTTAAACCTAATTCGCAGTGTAATTTTTTGGTTGAGTTAATATGTTTACTCAATTACTTCAAGAGTTTACTTCTGTTTCAGACATTGAATCTTTCAGCTAAAATGATTTTATTCAAGACTCTGTAACTAAATAGTTTTAGACATATTTAAATCTCTAAAAAAATTTTTTGGTTTCCTTTTAATGTGACAAAGTAGATAAAATTGTTATCATTCAACAACTGACTATATATTACTGGATTAAGTAGACTACAAGGACAGTAAACAGAAACCATTAACATATTTATCGATCTTTATTCTCTGGTTGAAATCATGAGTCAATTGAAGCTAGACCACCATGGAAAACTTGGAAGCACTGGACGGCCCTTTCGTCCTAGTATGGGACTCCTCAGACTACATTTCATTATTTCTGTTCTTGACATAATAAGTAAAAGATAGAAATCTTACACGATCATTTTTTTCTTTTATATACAGTTAATAAAAATGTGAACCATATAACTCAGTGGTCAATATAAGATCAAGTTTAAACTGTGAAATGATTGCTTCAAACTTTAATTTACAATGATTTATTAAATACATTCATGTTTACAGGGTTACAATTACTTTTTAAATGAAAAATCTACAAATAATTTTAAGTCATTAGTCTTTATGATCTCATCTAGTGAAGTCACTTCATTCAGGTGGATGGAAGGATAAACTTTTAACAGATCAATTGTTGATGGTTCATTTAAAGAAAATTGTTGTTTTCAGTAGTATATTTATTATATAAATGAACAGAAGATAAATTTTAAAAAATGACTTAAAATATCTAATACATTGTAAACCTATGTGAAATATGATGTAAAACCTATGTGTTATATGGGTTAAATGATTGATTTCAAAGAAAGAAAAGAAAATATTATTTTCCCATAATATTAAGCGAATAGATTTATTTGAGACAGTGAAACATTTCATTCTGTCAAACTGTATATAATTGTAATAAACCACAAACCACTTTTCTGACTTAACCTTTCCATCAGTTTTTAAAATCTTATTGGAAGGAAAAAACAACTGTTAACATTATCAATAGCACTTAAATTACACTAGAGATATCTATTCTGTACAATTTCAATAAATGTTAGTTAACTGAATGAAAATGCATAATCTATTTCTGTCAAGTTGTGAATTACTATGAAACGAAGACATATGAGATCAACATACTTATGTACACTTATGCGACAGTTATGTTAAAACATTAATTGCTTTAACACAGCGTATTATAAGCCCAAATAACAGCGACTAAGGATTTTACGATTATGCTATTCTAAATAACAGGAAAACTATATATATATATAGAGGGAGAGAGAGAGAAGGAGAATGAAGCAGAGAGATCAATATGTCGTCGTACATTAATAACAGTTCAGGAAGTTGATTAAGAGATCAGTTATTCATATTGTATTTTCTTGTAACCTATGTTTAAAACAAAGAGCAGGATAAATAGTAAACATAGTTATGCTGATGTTAAAAACTTTGACAAAAATCAACCAAAGTTATGAATAGCTGGTTACAATTACAATATGTATCCCAACCAGGAAACTGTGTCTGCCTAGGTGATTTATATTCTTATTCTGGTACATGTTTCTTTTTAAAAAGTTTTCTCCTCTATTAGAATAGTAAGCAGTGAGTTGTTTGTCATACACAACAAATCTTCTAAATACACTAATAATAGATTTTCCATAACATTATGATTTAATTTCTAGTATGCGTCAACTACTCTAAATTAAACATCACGTATTGAAGAAACTGGATTAAAGCTATACTTGGAAGAGATTTACGAAATAATACGTGTACATTACGTGCGTTTAGTGACATTGTTAATTTAGCGTAATGATGGAAGTCAGCAAAGTAGAATTCCTTTCTTGTCACTCAGTCAGTTTCTTCTTGTCAATGGAATAAACATTATTTACGGTGCCTAATCCATAATCCATGATTCACTTGATTCCCTTCACAACATATTTCCTAACTCTTCACATAATGACGTCATGCTTCCTACGTTTTATTTATTTATTACATACGCGCTGTAATCTGCCATTCAGCAGAAGCACTTTAGTGATTAGTAAACTTTTCTGTTTTGTTTATCTTTTAAAAGAATAAGGACAAAGCACAAAAGAATTGATGTTCATGTATCAAAATAGAAATACTGTATGCTCTGTGGTGAAAATATTGATACGGGAGAAGCTTAAGAAAAACGCTCGTAATTTGAAGAAAATCAGCCATTAATCACTTGTAATCGATAATTATTTAAAAACCTTTATCTTTTTAAATACTCAGCAAACTAATTAATATTGAGATAATCTTTTGATTATCATTCCTACTAAACAACACATTCAATTAGAAAATTGACATAAGCATCGATAAATTATTTGAAAATGGGAGACTGATTCTAACTTTAACTTTGTTAACATATTATATTCTTTGATAGTCAACATAAATATGAAGGTATCGTAATTCTGCTTTCGAATTTCAAGAAAGTACTATGCCATTCAACAAAACAACATGAAAGATAAGTTGATCTATCATTTCTCAAAGTATTTTCTGGTTTAATAATTAATAATTTTTGATCGAGATCATGAACCTCGTGATGTTAAACCACCATTGAAAACCTGAAAGTACTGGAAGGCCGTTTCGTCCTATCTTGGGATTACTTGGCAGTGCACATACACGATCCCACTAGCGGGATCCGAACCCAGGGCCTTCAGTCTCGCTCGCGAACGCCTAACCTCTAGACCACTGAGGCGGCATCCAATAATGGTAATGTCTAACTTCAACCAGTCCAGGTTTCCAATGATGGTCTTGCTTCAAGTGACTCATCAACTCAACTGTAAGGTTACTATAACATCTAAAAAAACTCCCTTCTGATAATAAAATATTATTAATAGTATTGTTGACATTTCGTTAAGTTTTATTTGAAAACTAATAGTCTCTCTGTACAATAAGTCGGTTGATTGTAATAACAAAATCGATAAGTAAAAATAACTTTGGGATGCAGATAGTAATTTATCATTTAACCAATTCTTTGATATATATGTATATAAAATAGCCTTTTGCATGTATCTAACCGCTAAAGCTATAATACGGAGTATTTATGATAACACCTACTATGTGACTTGTGCAATAATTTATTGGTTAGATATTAATTTTCTGAAATTGACTAACCAGTTCTCTTTTCATGGTTTATTAATTATTTTTGGCTAACGTTAAGTAATCTGTTAATAGTATATGATGAAATTTGTCATAAATAATTTCTTTCAGGTGAAGCGAAAAATCTATGTTAACATCTTAGTTATCAGATGGATAACTGGATGACCGATTAAATGACCGTGAATGGAAACGCTTTATCATTATTGATAAAGAGTTATCGAATTCGACAAGTATCATATTTATACCAATTTTCAAGAATACCAAAGATTGAATGGGTTAAAATGTCAATAAATAGAATTGTTAGAACGGTGTACTTAATTTGTGTCTGAAAAAAAGTTAGCTTAAACGTTGATAAATCTACCGTGGTTGCATTTATGCAATAGGAAAGGTAAAATGCTTTAATTACTGAGATTCACACTCTCAAAAATACATAAAATCACCTAGAATTTATGTCTAAAAAAAAATAAAACATTTAATTCAATATTTAATTCTCTTGACTATTTTCGAAAGAGTTTATGTCTTATTTCATTCTATGTTATTAATAAATCATTGGAACAGAAATCGAACATGGCATCAATTGCTTACCTTGCCAAATTGACTAAAGTATTCACTTAATTCTTCATTTGTTGTTTGTGTTGCAACTCCACCGATGAATACACGTTTAGTTTTTGTAGATACCTATAATAGTAACAAAACATATTTTTACAAATCGGTAGAAAAACGTGAGAGAAGAAAAAGAAGAAACTACACAAAAAAAAAGATTTTTAGCATGGAATTTGCAATGCACTGTGTATGTGTGTACACATATAGTTATACAGTGTATATTTGTACAAGAAAAACAGACAAACTTTTTCTTCCATCTTATGTATAGAATATGGGTGTTAAGCTATATTTCCAGATCTAATTTCATCTTCCTGATGTTTAATAATAGTTCCTTACTTTTGAATTAGAAGCTTAATCAGTAGGATAACGGTTATTTTATGTGACTGTTTATACCTTATTATTTATTTATTCATTTGGACACATAGATATTGGTACAAGAGTGCACCAAATATATATGCGCCACACAAAACAATCAGAATTTAGAGAGAAGGAAAAAAATGAAAAGGTAAGTAGTGTTAAAAAAAGAACAATAACGAACAGATTAGTGTAAGGTAGTGTAATAATAATAATAATGGGGGAAACAGAAACGTACAGTCCGAAGAGATCTTTCTGTTAAGTAAGATACAACCACTTTTTATGAAGAAAGTAAAAGGAGGTTACAGCAGGATCCCCACTGGCTCCTATTCTGAGCCATATCTGATGTCTCTAGCCACTGTGTTTCACCATCTCTCGGACCCCAGCCAAGGAGTCGTGAAGGACCAACACAGGCCAGCCCTTTGCAGCTTTCTTTCATACCACGACACCATGTCATACCTAGTCAATTATGTAGTCTAATGTAAATCTAATTTTATGTGAAATTTTTTTGTTTAATTTTAAATTTTGTCGTTTTTTACCCACCCGAATGAATAAGAACCATATTTATTGAAATGTGTCAATAGTCAGTTGATTTTTATTTATCATGTATGATAAATTCCTACCAATCATTTGTTCTAAATTTCCTGATTGTATCATTAATCAATCATCAAAAACTTATAAAATTACGTTTACCGCTTCATGCGATTGCTTCCAGTAAGCAGACTTATAATTAGAAGAAATTAAACTTTCAATTGCCAACTAAAACATTTACTTATTTAGATAAAATCATAGCAGGAACCTCTCGAATCCACAATAAAATTTATCAAAAATATATATATCGTCGACTGAAATCATGAGTCCTAGTATGGGACTCCTCAGTAATGCGCATCCACGACCCCGCCCCCCGCAGGATCCGAACCCGGGACCTATCAGTCTCGCGCCAGGGTTCGAATCTCGCGAGGGGCGGGATCGTAGATGCGCACTGCTGAGGAGTCCCGTACCAGGACAAAACGGTCGTCCAGTGCCTCCAGGTTTTCCAGGGTGGTCTAGTTTCAATCGACTCATGATCTCAGCCATTGAAATCACTATATTGTACACAAAACACCTTCTGATAAAAGCATATATGTATATTAGTAATAAGACAAAATTACTTAATTATTTAACTACGCCACAAGATTTTTTATTTATTTCTACATTTAAAAACTATTAGTTTTCTTAAAAATTCAGTTCAAATATTCAACTCATATAATAAACGTAAAGTAACCATACATCAGTAACGACTGAAATGTTCAATAATTGAAAAAGTGGAAACTAAATGTACATTATGAAAATATTTATAGTATTGATTTTAATTACTAATACATCAAGAAATCGATCATTAGAATATTCTGTTGGAGAACATAAGATGTTTAACATTATGATAAAAAAATATCACATAATATGATACCATCTATAGATTATGACAAAGCATGAAACATTCTTTTCGAAAAACGTTATACATCAAATAAAAGATAATTTGATAAAGTATGTTATCAAGAAATAACTAGATTCAAATACTATTCCGCTTAGTCAAAGGCAGTCTACTAATGATAGCACCTATAGTTTTTACTTCTCATGTATATTAATCAATTAATAATCACATTCAATACTGATTATTGCATTATCAGTCAGTTTATGAATGTAAAAAGAATAAATCTTTTCCTAGAGGACAGTTATTCTGATGTAATTTACTTGTAATAATTACTATTTAGTTCAATGTGTACTTAGTTAAGTAAAGCATTACCTAAAATTAGAATGAATATCTTAATTGTATAAACATTAAGAATAATTACAGATTGAAAGTTACTCTCTCTAGAAAATCAATTAATTTGTTTTGTTACACTTATTAATAAATAAGGTTTTTTAGGTATTGAGTTCAGGTAAAATACGTTAGACTACTTTAAATTAAGTTCAAGAGAATTTTTACGACAAATTTAGTTAAGGTAAGATTATGCTTACAAGATTATGTCGTATGAATTTAGTAGTTATCAGATTTTTGCTTTCTATGTTAAACATGACACGTTTATCTTTTATGTAAATGAAGAATATTATTTAAAACACGATGTAGCCCATGATCTGACTCCAGTTGATTACTATTGAGATATCCATACCTCCAATCCTCATATATAATAATCGATTTCACTCGCGTTAGTAAATAACGAATAAAATAAGTAAAATACGAGAAAGGATGTTGAATAGTATATTTTGTACAATCATTGATCCAGGCAGACAATCAAAGGAACAAAGCTAAAGGAAATGATGCACGGTGGAGAAGGCATGTGAGCCAACTCAATTTAATCAAGCGTGAATCAATATTTATAGACACATAAAAAGAAGCTATAGACATTTGATGGGTAGAATAAGATGTGTATACAAATATGCTCATATAAAAACAGTCAAGGTTGACAATCGAATAATTAACAAGGTCGAAACGTGACTCAAGAATAATGGGTAAGTTGGCCTGTCCAGGAGCTAGAATAAGTTATATAGGCTTAACGTAACGACCGACACTACAACGACGTTAAAACGAAAACGTATGTAGTTTAGACAAAAATAAGTAAAAACGAAATCCATAACGTTTAAGTAAACGTTTATACATGGAAAAAACCAAGGGAAAAATAGTGTTTATATAAATAGTGATTTATCAAATTGTTTAGATCACAACAAGGAGAACATATGAAAACTAGCATTTTAAAAAATCTTCCATCATCATTTAAAAATTCACAGAAGTGCATTTTACGGGACAATAATATCCTGAAGAGAAAATAACATAGACATTTTTGTGGAAACAGCATTTATTAGTTATTATTTTCTGACATTATTCAGCTGACTAACCTACTACCATTCAGTTCAAACATCATCTAGCTAATGAGTTCAGATAAACAAATAGCCATTTGTGTGACGGTGATGATTTTTAATTTGTGAGTAGTTATTTACTCATTACGTTTAATACATCATAAATACAACATTCAAAAGAAAGATGCCCAAAAGTTTGCGAGTCAAACGTAGTCAATGTAGGACATGGAATAAATGTGTATTGGGTCAAATTGCCACACATCACACTAGAAAAATAAGAAAAGAAAATAATAGGACGTAAATCAAATAAGAAAATCTAGTTTCACCTGCAATAAACATTAAATAATGAGAAATACAGAAGTAAAAGAAACAATGAAGAATTAAGAAAACAATTTTCGTCAGGTTTTAAAGGAAGGGAATGGATAGAGTTGAGCCAAAACCGCTGACTTTCTTTTATACTACTTAACATCTCTACCTACTTACTTTGAAACCCCATCTATTGATATACTACAAACCAACAGCAAATAATTTTATGGACTATCATAATTTCTTGGTGATTTTGACCCTTGATTTTTTATAACTGTGGTCGTGGCAGTGAAAGTACTGATATCTACAAGTGACAGTATAATCCAGGACGTCCATTTCATCCTGTTTAAGACTAGTCATCTGTATGTACCTGGATCCAAGTCTTAATGTTTACAGTAAGATTAGAACCCAGTATACTATCAAGTTTATTATCTACTGACTATAAGGTGAACATTTTAAATATTTTATGCTTTTTTTAAATTTTTTCTGCTGGTAAACTACCTTAAAATTAAAAAAAATCCATAAGACATATATATGGTCACTTTACAAAATAAACATAATTTCATCCATAATCTCTTTTAATTATTGACAGAACAAAAACAATATTTCATAACCTAAATAAAAAAGAACACAAGATCTATGGTTAAGTTGAACACATTGAATTATGTGGAGCCAAATCAAAAATGAATAGTCAAAGATTATTCATTACTATAATATATTAATTAACGAGTTCAAACTATCTCAATTATTTTTGAATGTAGAAATTAAAACAAAAACAAAACAAAGTAAGGATAATATATATTTAAAATGAACCAATAATATAGTTTCAGCAATTGAGATCATGAGTCTATTGAAGCTAGACCACCAAGGAAAACCTGGGGGCACTGGACGACCATTTCATCCTATTGTGGAACTCCTCAGCAGTGCGCATCCATGACCCCGCCTCGTGGGGTCTTAAATGAACTATAGTTAACATTATAGTTATACAATTGATAAACTCATTGATTATTACAATATTCTAGACATGTATAAAACGTCTATTTCTTGTCATCTATTTATTTCTAAGTTATGTAATATAAAATTTAAGAATGTAAATGATTTTCAAAAGCTTATGATTCATTGACATTTTATTAAAAACGGTGGCGCAACTTTGCGGATTGGTTGAAGTTAGACATTAACATCGTTGGATGCCGGCTCAGTGGCCTACCTGATTAAGCGCCTGGAGCGAGACTGATAGGTCCTGGGTTCGAATCTCACGGGGGGCGTGATTGTGGATGAGCACTGTTGAGGAGTCCCATTCTAGGACGAAACGGCCGTCCAGTGCTTCCAGGTTTTCCATGGTGGTCTAGTTTCAATTGACTCATGATTTAAACCAGTGAAATTTATTTAAAACACTTCATTAAATAACATAATCAAATATATTATTATCTATTTTTGTATGGTATAGAATTAAATGTAACTAGTAACTAGATGCACTTATTATATCCAAGGTCAATATTACTAAGCATAGTGATATTTTTGTTGCTGTTGTTGTAATTAATCGATTAAATTTACACAACAAATATCTTTCAAAGATTCTA